ATCACGTCTTGAACGAGTTACATAAATGAAAACCTGAACCACAATTTAAAAAGTATTTGTTTAGACAATTGAAGAATACCAAATTCTTTCAAATTACTGGATTAGGTTGGGTGGAAGTTGGATTGCAAGTTTGTAGACAAGGTTACAACATGTTGAACTTGCCATCCATCGACCATCCATCGTAAAAAGTCAGTCCTCTTCTTTATCAAATGATTTGCCAAGGTATATATGTTAACTGAATTTATTATTATTTTTCACAGCTTGAATTACCTTCATCTTGATTACAACATGAACTTGAAGCCCGTCAAGACTTTGACCACCAAAGAACGAAAGAAATCCAGATTCAGAAATGCATTCCATTTATGCCAAGAAATCCTAAGATTGACAAAATCAATTGTAGATTGTCATGTTCAATATCGTTCAGGAAATGTTGATGCATTTCAATTAGCAGATGGATTACAATTTGCATTCGCACACGTAGGACAACTAACAGGAATGTATAGATACAAGTATAAGTTAATGAAACAAATCCGGCAATGTAAAGATTTGAAACATTTGATTTATTATCGATTTAATACTGGTGCGGTTGAAAAAGGTCCTGGGGCTGGCTTTTGGGCTCCTCGTCCAAGAGTTTGGTTATTCTTTATGAGAGGTATTGTACCTCTGTTGGAAAGATGGTTAAGTAATCTCGTGGCTAGACAGTTTGAAGGTAGAAATAGTAAAGGGGTTGCGAAGACTGTGACCAAACAACGGATCAGTTTCTTTCTATTTGATTTTTACTTTTAGAAGAATTGACTTTTTGAATGCTCACTGACCTATGTGATGATATGTACAGGTTGAGAGGTGAGCTTTATAGAGTGCTGCGGCAATGGTTCTGTATGGTCTAAACCATGGTACTGATTGATTTTGATCTCCTCCAGTCACTTCAATTTGGAGTTACATGCTGCCGCGATGCACGATAATTAGTTTCGTACCACCCAAACATACACCCAGATATTGATGCAAGTGATCTGATGCTTCTGTAAACATTCAGATATGATGCCAGAAGGTTTAAAACAAAAAAATCAAAGACAATCTTACAACATCGCTCAGAAGCTTGAAGATGGTGGAAAGCGAATATACCATGGAAGGTACCAGCAATGCCGACAGCTGTTGAGAATATCATTTGAGGATATGCTAAATCAAAGGCCGATTGGCGGACCTTTGTGGCTCATTATAATCGTGAACGTATCAAATGTGGTGCTATGCTTGATAAGACGGTCAGTAAGAAGAACTTACAATGATCAACTCGTGAGATATTTCTTTTGATTATGTTTTGAAAATGTAGTATGAAATTGATGAGTTTTGTTTTGTGGGCAGCGCTTTGATTTTATGTATGTTTGTATCTTAAAGGTGAGCAAGAGAGACAGAATAGTTACAGCCGTTAAAGGGTTAAACGGCAGAAAGTTTCGTCTGTGTGATGCACCCAAAGTAAAATCTGCGAGCTCAAAACTAGATTAAACCAGGTTTTGGACACAATTCAACAATGTGCCGCGGGAGACCTGTCACTTTTGATCGGATTTAACAGCTTTTGGACTTTGGTATTAAATCTTGGTGC